TACTATTAAAAGATGATACTCTTTCACTAATGCCATGCAATATTACTCCAACTAAATGATTAATGACACTCACTATACTATTGTTACAGGACAACCCATGCTACTTTTATTTATTTACACAACATGCTCCCAATGCATTGTTGTTTAAGCTATAAAGATTGCTTGGTTTGAAGAGTTTTAAGTATAAAATATTGCATGCAAAGATTTCAAAATGTTGGAATTTGGTTTGAAGAAAACATAAATTCAAAGTAATATTTTGAGGAATTTGGAACTCATCCTCAATTCATTTTAGGTGTACTCCAAATAGGTTGGTTTTACCAATTTCCAAAAATTACAAGTTCTTGTTGCCACCTGCTAGATGCCACCAGCCACCACCATCATCAGCCACCGTTGACGGCCTTCCACCTCTTTGTTATTGTCACCACCACCAATGTCGTCGGTTGCTGCCGTCAACCATTCTTGTTAGACTTTACACTCAACAAGACATTGAAAAAGTATTTCAAATATATGATTTTAACTTATAGTGTATTCTGAATACTTTAGAGTTCATAATAATTACTAAAAATAATCACTTAATTAGAGTTACTTCTTGGGTTTGAATTATCAAGCTCATTTGTTGAAAATTTTTCTAATAAAAGGTGTTACTAAGTTGTTAAGTAGATCATTATTGCACGAGTAATTTCTCAGCAATAGTGCTGCAATTGGTATTTAAGATTATTTTGTAGTTTATACTTTTACTTCTATTTTAGTTTAGGTAGACTTTGCTCATGAACCTTTTTCCAAACTCCTCCTTTACTAGTTGCCAGTTTTGTTTTCCTATTGAGCTATTACTTAGGTTCCATTGATGCAAGAAAATTTCTTCTTCTTATTTTTTGTTTGTTATGCATAGCATTACTTGTAGATGTAACTTTTCCCTTGTGAGTACAAAACTGATTTAACTGATCATCACTTTTAAGGCTTATATCAAAAGTTAAATTAATCTCTTTATAGCATCCAGTGTTGCTAGAATGTATTGCCTTCAAAACCAAAGGTGTGATATGCAGTGGCAATTTAGTTTAGCTAAACATTGATAAGCCAAAGCATTTGTCACTAGAAGCAATATCAATCTAGATAAACCAAATCCAACCTTAGGTTGCTTCATCGACTAGGACTAAAATTGAATTAAGTTCCTAAAAAAACATATTTAGATGCATGATAAGAGCCAAGGAAAGTTATTGATAAGCTTCTTAGTTTAACGCAATATACCTTGTTGTGAGCAATCCCAGCAGAACATGTGAACTCTGTTTCCTTCAGAACTTTATCACGTAATTGTGCAACTATAATGGCTCCACAAGCTAATAATTTATCCTGATAGATGGCATCACTTCCAAAAAACCACTCTCGGACATTCTTTTCCAGATCTTCATCCTGAAGGAATCAAAATATCAGGATCAGATTCTGTAAGAATGGAAGTTAAGTATGGCTACTAAACAATAGTTTAAGAAAATGATGTCACAAACAAAAGAGAAATAATCATGACAAAATAGAATCAAATACTTCCAGATTTCCCAAATAATAACGTTTTGTTAGATTTTAAGCAGATTATTTTGAGCAGCAACATTATCTCAAAACCATCTTTAGAATATGTCTAACCCCTCTCAGACCAAGAACATGTGATTTCAGGGCCTCTTCATCAAAGTTTTCTAGTTCCTCAAGAGGAGCTTCAGATAGCATTGATTCTGCGGCATCAGTCAAGTCAAGATAAACCTCATCGATCGATGCACGCTCACACCTTCCTTTCGTTGACAGTATTGAGACTACCTGTAATTTATTACATCAACATAAAGTAGTTTGAAATTAGAGAATTAAAATCTCCAGAAATCCGCAGCCCCTTTTATGTGACACTTAAATTCTCATTTAAAAATAAACTTCAAATGATTCAATACCTCAGAACCAGCACTTCGATACCCATTCAGGTCGGCTTTACCACGTGCAACGGGAACCTGAACCAACTGTATACCAGGGCAAACCATTTCAGCCTCAGCTCCTCGCATCGAACTGAGGTTCTTGAATTTCCACACAACAAGTTAGATGTCAACAACGAATCGCAGTAATCACAAAGTAGAACAAGCTCACCGTTTCACCCCAAATTTTCGAGCTTCATAGCTTACAGCAATCAAAGCCCCTCCTTTCCAATCATTATACTGCACTACAGCAGTGGGCAAGCCCCTTAATTTGGGCTGCTTTCTTTGCTCCACTGCATGCAAAAATATATATTTCAGCTTAAGAAACATGATCTGCAATCGGCAAATATACCAAATAGACTAATTATATAGTTAATTTCTGCCAAGCTATGGAATAATATTTGGGGCGTTTACAAACATAGCTCACAATTATTATGTATTTACCTAGCCCACATCAAAACTTTCATATTTAAATGTATAACACTCAAATCTTTAATATCACATCAAAACTAGAACTATTGCCACTTTTTAAAAGTGAAATCTATCTTTTGACGTATAGGTTTAAAGCACCATATGTATTTAAATATAAAATTTTAGGTGTGAGAAAATAGATAAGAATTGTGCGCTATGTATGTAAATTTCCCATAATATTTTTAAAGTTCAGAAAGTACTGCACCATACAAGATACAGGATAGTCAATAGATGATAGTTTATTCCAATAGCAACCTATACGAGAGTAATATATGCCACTTACAGTGAAGTTAAAAAACAAGAAAACATGAGACTGCTAATGCAAATAAACGTTCCATTGAACTGCAGATTGAAAAGAAGGTTACAAGTAATTGGCAAGAACTGCGATGGTATACCACATGGTTATATGATAGTTGAAAGGCAATTGTTGTGTGATGCATTATCAGATAACAGTCTGCCCTCCTAAAAAGCTTCTATGAGTTCATATTATAAGAGGGCAGGTGAAAAAGGGCTGCTTGTTGGTTGAGATTTGCTACTCATTCTAGAAATTGGATCTACACATTTTGAATCACAAGAATCTAGTAACACCGAGAGAAATGAAAGTGGGGCTCTTACTTTCATGATACCATAAAATTGGCCTATGTGGGCTCACTCTAGTTAGAAAACCTCTTTTATCTTTCTTCATTCACCGTAGTATTATCTACTTTCTAGCCATATGCCTTATGTGTCATTTTCATTTTAATTTATGCCTATCCATGGCTTATGATCTCACGATTCAAATTGAGTTTGATCAATTTGAATCTAACGGTGTTGTGTTTGATCTACACTCACCGCACTAAATTTTAAAATGCTGAAGCCAAATCTTGCTCATGAAATTATTCCATATACAAACTAGATGAAAAATGAGCAGCTAAGAGTGATGATATGAAATTATAACGTATTGAAGTTGATAACAAAAAAGAAAGAGGGTCATTTAGTAGAGTGTCTGCTTGAGTCAATCAAGTAAGGTGCAGGGTATATAAGAGTAACTTCATCTCTCTCTCTCTCTCTCTCTCTCTCTCTCTCTCTCTCTCTCTGTGTGTGTGTGTGTTGGGGGGAGTGGGCGCGCGCGCGCGTGTGACTTGGACTCTTCATTTCAATCCGTATGAGCTAAAATCCTATAATTAGTAAATCAAGAAGGAGAGAACACATTTCTTGTAATTGAACGCTTACTATTTATAAGCACCAGTGAAAGTTTTTATGGGAGGATCTTTACATCTCATTCATTGCTGAGTGAACTAAAAATGAACTAAAATTAGGTTTGGAACATCAATAGTCAAACAAATTTTTAACCCAAAAGCTTGAACCTATGAGTGAGTATCAACCACTTAGAGTCTGTTTGGGATAACTTTCTGTCTGTTTTGCGTTTTAGACTACCACCACAGCTCCTTTTAAAGAACTTCTTTCTTGTTGTTTTATAGAAATTTTTGTGATGGGAAACTATTTTTTTTTTAACTTGACATGTTAAAGTGAGGTGGTTGTCAGAAAGATGCTATCTAATTTTTTGAAAATATATATATTTATAATTCCCATGCAAATTTATAAGAAGTGATTTTCTGCACCATAGTTTTATAATCATTTTTAAAAAAATGCAACCGCCCCAAACAAACCCTCAATATCTCAAAATCAACATATTTCTCAATTAATAGAAATGGAGCTAAACCCAACAATCCAATGTGCTTTAGCAGTCTCCCAATGCAAAAGCTTCCCAAAACGATAATCATAAACAAAGGCTCATCAAGTATAATACATCTAGAGTTCATTCAAACACATGGATCCATCATACCGAACAACCGCCCCCCAACCACCCACACCACCCCTTGAACTTTGTTCAATAATGGCAGAAGTTGGATAATACATACAAGATGAACAAACCACATGAATCACTTGATCCAAGTCGAACTATTGCCCGAATACAAGTTATTAAGAAATTAACTACTGAGTCAAATCTATGACAAAGCACAAGCATATTGATACATAAACAACATTGTTGGGCTGTTATAACTCTTGGGACATATTTGGGAGGTTTAAAGCCACTTTCAAGAAATATTTTAAAAGCTAAACTTCATTTAAAACAAACATAATTCTAATCTTGGGAGTGTAGAAATTTACTGTAATACTGAATTGTAAGACACTAAACCAACCAACGAGCAAAACTGCATCTTGTATAATGGGCATGCGCCTAAATATAAGTAATTCAAACATGATAGAATCAGAAACCAGAGTATCTGCTAAATGCTAAGCAGAAACTATCTTCTAAAACCAAAATAACCTAGAAGCGCTTCATCGTAAAAACAAAGAAACCTCATAAATTCTGAAAAACACAAGGTTTACTCATATGACCTGATCATGTCCCCCGCCATAGATTGAAATTGCATATTAAATAAAAAAAGCTCACATACAGGGCAAAAAAAAACTGAAAAAGAAAAAAAATTGAAAATAAAAATAATAATAACGAGAGACCTTGGACATAGAAGCAATCCATGTCGACGTGGGCAATGACGCGGTCTCCTTGCAGATCTGGTCGAGGGATCGGCATTTTCGCTCGATTTCCTGCTTTTCTAATTTCTCCTCCTCTTCCGACTCTCGTATACTGCTCGCTGCGCTGAATGCTCAGTCTGGAGAAAAAATATTACATCGGTACTACGCAGCCAAAGACACCCCTTGGCTTTATTATTCATGTGTTATTGTGTATTATTATTGTGTATTAGGAATATTCTTGGTATTATAATAACAAAATAACACATCAATAACACATGAATAACACACAATAACACATGAATAACACGTAAAAGAATATTCTCCGTGTTACTGCGCCGTTTTTTCTCTGTCGGGAATATTCCCTGTGTTATTCAAGTGTTATTGTGTGTTATTCAAGTGTTATTGTGTTTATTCAAGTGTTATTGTGTGTTATTCATGTATTATTATATCCTGAGAATATTTTTGGTGTTATAATAACACAATAACACATCAATAACACATGAATAACACGCAATAACACATGAATAACACGAGAGGTAATATTCCCCGTGTTACTGTGCCGTTTTTTTTCTCTATCGTGCGTGGCGTGATTTTATTGGCTACGCACGGTATTTCTACGTGCGTAGTACTGATGTAATATTTTTTCCAGTCTGGAGTCACACCTTCCTTCTCTGACTACCCATCACTGGGTAACTATAACACGACTTGGTAATATTTATGGGCATTTGCATACTAAGTATATAATTCTTCTTTATTTATCTCTTTAATATTTAAAATTTAATTTTTATACTTCAAAAATTTTAATCTTTTATATCACATAAAAATATTATTATTATTTACTTTAAAAAATAAAATACAATTTTTCAAACACAAATAAAGTGGTACAAGTATAAAAATCAAATTTTAGGATTTAGATATTTAATTACAAAGAAATTATGTGGTGCATATATATATGTGTATATATATATATATAATTAAAATTTTTTAGAGAATATTTATATAGAAATTTTTTAGTGATTAAAACTATTTAACTCTGCAAAGATAAAAATATGTAAAAAATTTTATTATTATTTTTATATAAATTTTTATTATAAAAGATATTTTTATTCATTTTACTTTTTATTACATTATTTAATTTTTTTTTTTATATAAACACTCTTTTTAGATCTTCAATATTTGTTTCTTTATATAGAAATAGATAGTTTATGGTGAATTTCTATAATAATATCACTAACTTTTTTAATTTTAATCTCATGAATGTTTTAAAGATGTAATAGGGTGACTTATAAATTTCTTACATAAATGAGGGCCTAAATGTCTTTAATCAATTAGGCATTCAATTTTTCTTTCTTCAAATGAAGATATATTTCTATCAAATGTCATCTTGAATATTGAGATTGGTAATATCTTAATTGGCATATACTTATTTATATTGAGATATTTTAATGTATTTTAATGACTGAAATGTTTACTATTCTAGAACTCCGTTAGAAGGCTAGTTTTGCATGTGCTTAAAGGGATATAATTCGGTGGATTGTGCTATCATCGAGATTATTGAATTTGGTGGAAGTGATGCATCTAAACTTTTAACTACTCATCCTTTCTCATTGGGGATGTCAATCATTTTCTTATTTTTAGTTCTTTTATTGATTTTAAGTTTATGTGATCTTCTTTTTTGACAATGGTATGGTTCTATCAACAATAATGTGTGCCTCAACAAATAAAATCATTATAAGGGTGGATAGTCTCTTGTATCAATGAGAAGAAATATTTAAGAAAAAAAACTTTAAGGAAAATATCTCATAATAAGTCAAATTTACTTATGGGATATGATGTCCCTGAGAAGTATTCTTAAATGTATCATTTGAGGGCCACTTTTCATTTTGAATAATCTCATAATGATAAGTAAAGTTTTTAAAAATTCCACTATTTTCTATAATCGATTAAAATTTTGATGAGATGGACAAAGTTGTTGATTCTTATCATAAGTGTTGTGTTTCGGAAGATTTGTGTTTGAAGAGTAATAATATAGTACATTAGTGTTGAACGAAGATTCAACACATATAGATAAAAGAGAAGTAAGCAGGAAGTGGCATCTTGAGTTTTTGAATGAAAAAATCTAAAATGGGAAAAATTTACGAGACCTGTCACACTTAAATAATTCATTATCTAATTACAAGTACACATGTCACGCTTCTCCTGGATTGGGAAATATAGAGTTACAAAGTTGATCATAGTAGATGTAAAATAGTCATTCATTGATAATAATTGTAATCTGACTATAGTTCTTAACGATAATGGTGATAGCAGACTGCGACGGTCGTAGTTGATTGTTATGGAGGCAATAGTCTGTCATGAATGTTGTAGATAGTGGTTGTAGCGCAAGTTTATCATAAAGGTCATAATCAAAAGTCATGATAGCGGTTAGTCATATAGATGATAATCGGTAACTTTAAGAGCATCGGTTGGTCACAACAACCATAGTAGGGAGCCGTGATAGCATTTATAAGGCGTTGAGGCCAAAGTTAGGAGTTGTATGAGTTGTGAGCTAAATAGGTCATAGTTGATCAGATTGGTCGTAGCGGAGAGCTATAATAATGTTTGTAGATCGTAGAGGCCAAAGTTAGGATTTCATAAGTCGTGAGTTATGTAGGTCATAATTGGTCACATAGGTTACAACCTGGATTTGCAATAACGTATATTGGTCATAGAAGCCGAAGATAGGAGCTGTGTAAACTGCGAGACACATATGTTGTAGTTTGTCATGTTGGTTGTAGCAAAAAACTGTAATAATGTTTGCAGGTCATAGAGATCTGAGTTGGGAGTTATGTAAGCTATGAACCACGTAAATCATAGTTGGTAAAATAAGACATAGTGGAGATCCAATAACGTCCATAAGTCATAGAGCTCGAAGTTGGAAGCTACGTGATTTGTGAGTCACGTGGACAATAGTTGGTGTCATAGGCCATAGTAGAGAGTTGTAATAACATATATAAGCTGTAAATGCAGGAGCTAGGTCGTAGTTGGTCACAGTAGTTGTAGTGGGAAACTATAATAAGTTAGTAGGCCAAAAAGATTAGAGTTGGGTATTGGGTGAATTGTAAGTCATTTAGATCATAATTGGTTGCATAGGTCATAGTAGGGAATTGCGGTTGCATCAATTGGCCAGTAATATCATATTAAGTGGTTGCAATTGCAGAGAAACACATAGATCATAAGCTATAGCTATGAGGATATAACATTAAAATTTTAGAAAAGGACACTGTGTTCTAAGTGTGGTGGTGGCAAGCATTTATTGTGCGGAGTTACACCATCTTCAGGGTGCATCATTATACTGTATTTAAGATGTTTTGTTACAACATATTTGGGATGAATCGTTACACCATTTTTGGGTGCATCCATACAGCATCTTAGGAGTGCATCATTATATCGTCTCTAAGATGTAGCATTCTACCGCTTTAAGGAGCATCATTATACTGTCTTTAGGGTGAGTCATTACACTGTCTTTGAGGTGTGTTATTACTTCATATTCAGAGCGTATCATTACACCGTCTTCGGGATACATTATTACACATTATGATTCATTGATACCAACAAGCAGAGGCGATTGACAGTGGTTAATTGTGGCCAGAGAGTAATGGTTGATGATGGTCAATAGCTGTGGGAGCAGAAAATGTTTGTTAGATCTTTAGTTCATAATAACACTGGAATTCAACTCCTTCTCTAGATCCAACTCTTGCTCCAGGTCTCCCTCATTCATCCTCAGCTTCAATCCCCCTTCCTTCATGGAGTGGGGCTCTATTTATAGAGCATGGGAGTGTCTCTCTTGCAAATAAGAAATAATTTTAGACACTATATCAGTTTTAAGAGAGTTGGTGTGTGATGTCATTTGATGTTAATAGATGATTAAGTTGAGCGCTGTTAATTTTACCTCCGCTGCAGAGCGTAGAAATTTTATTTTGGCTTCAAAATGTTCTTCCACATGTTGTTTGAATTTAATAAAGCAAAAAGAGTGTCTGATTTGTTAATTAGAGGATACAACCATGTATAGCGAGTAGCATCTTCGATAAAAAGAACATAATATGTGTATCCTTAAATTGACATGGTTAGGGAAGGTCCTCATACATCAGAGTGAATTAACTCAAAAGGATGATTATGATGATTACAAGAAGAAGAAATACATATTTTGTGATGTATTGCTAAAATGCGCGAGTGATAAATAGTAGGTTTCTTGGGTATACATAGACTAGGATTTTGTTTAGAGATAAGGAAGATAGTGTTGTTGTTGACGTGGTCAAGTCATTGAAGCTACAACTCAACTGTCTTGGATATTGAGATCATTGATTGCTTGGGAGGAGGTAGATGGATCAGACAGAGGCCATCGCAGCAGCGTCCTTGTAAGAGAATGTGTTGGGAGGTCCAGCTCTTGATTTGGCAGTCAGATGAATTAAGAAGAATAGTGTAGTTATTATCACGGGCTAATTGATAGATAGATATGAGACTGTGTGAAATATGTGGAGTATGTAAAAGATTTGAGAGAGGTAGCTTACAAGTGGGTGTGGGAGGTAAACCTTGGCCTTGGTTTTGGATGGGAGCAAAGTTACCCTTTCCAACAGAGATTTGTTCCTGCCCATGATAGGAGTTGGGTTGTTGAAGGTTGGTATAGTCGTCGATAGATGATTTGATGTGTCAGTGTCCAAGTACCATGCTTGGTCGGTGGAGGAGGCTGTAAACATTGCTTTAGGAGTAGAGATTTTAGGTTGATAACTGAGATTTAGTATGAGGTAGTGTAACACTTCTTAATGTAGATTTGACAGATTTCGTTGCTCTCTAATTTGGGCTATTTTTGGGTTGGTTCATCAGTCTGACGGATGTGTTGTCATCCTCGTCCTCTAAAGCCACTACGACCACGACTGCATTGGGAGTAGAGAACAGAATGGATATCTGATGGTTGCGAATGTGTTGAGTTATCGAAGGAGAGACTACTTTCTTCGCAGTGAAGTAGAGAGCAGAGGTCTTCCAAACTAAGGGGAGAAAGCGAGGTTCTTATTGTTGCCTTGAAGGCTTGATATGCAGGGGGAAGGCCTTTGAGGGTATATAATATAATGTCTTCGATGTCGGCAGATGATCCGAAGGCAGAGATG